GGGGCAGCTCCCCTAACGCCGCCTCTGCCCCGCAGGTGATCGTCTGGGGAGATTACGGGCGCATGGACCACAAGTGCTTCATGGGGATGGCCCAGATCGTCTTGGAGGAGCTCGATCTCTCCAGCGCGGTCACGGGCTGGTACAAACTCTTCCCCACCTCCTCGCTGGCCGACCCCGGCATCGGACCTCTGACGCGCCGCCTCTCCCAGTCCTCCCTGGAGAGCTCCACCAGCCCCTCCTGCCCGTAGGCGGCAGGTTGGTGGGAGAGGCCGGGAGGGGAAAGGAGATGTCCTGACCTGCCAAAACTGTTAGCGGGTAGCTGTAAATATCCTGTCTTTTTTTTTTTTTTTCCCCCTTTTTTTTTTCTTTTTAAATCTCCTTCCCGAAACAAACCCACTCTCAACACGCTCCTCCCCAAGCACGCGTCCCGGCACGCAGCGGGGGACGTTGGAGAGGGCGCGAGGGCCGCGTGTTTTGAGGCGGGGGAAGAAACAGCAAAAATCCAACCCCCACCCCGCGTGAGGCAGAGCGAGGGCCGCGACTGCCGACCGGTCCCGAGACTGTTACCGCACCTCGTCCCGGCTCCCCGTCGGAAAGGGAGCGAAGCGAAGCGCTTCCTGACCCGCCCGGCGAGAGCATCTCTGTCCCATTCATTCAAGCAGCATGTTGACGAGGTTTCTTTTCCTTCGATTTACATTTTCTTGCCTCTGAGGAAAAGGTAGCTTTTCAAAGAAAAAACCTCAGAAAAAAATCCAACTCAGCACTATTTTTTTTCTTTTCCAAGGAATGTAGCATCTGCTATTATGTAGCTTGCCACGTGCTAACCACACACTCACTCTCTGCAATATCTAAGAGACTCCGGACTGACCGGAAACATCTGCCAGTCACTTCCCGCTTGTTCGTTTTCCAACACAAATCCTGCAACACCGAGCAAGCACTTCTGGTGGCCATTTTTATTTATTTTTTTTTTTAAATTTTGGTTTTTTTCGGTAGCATGTAGCCTGTGACCAGTGACATTGCCAAAGCAAGAGAGAAAAAGGTGCACTCACCTCACCTAGGCGTGTGCTGGTCGTCTCCTCGTGTTTCACCACTGACCATGGTCTTGTATGGCCAAAGCAAGACCCAAAATATAAATTCTGTGATGCCTCACGTGAAAATTCGAGTCAGGAGAAGGTGACCCGATGGAGCAGGAATACTGTGATGCTGGTTGATCGTCTGCCTCCCAGCCCCTTCCTCCCGTGAGGGCCAGCTCAAGGTCCGGGATGCCCTCCGTGGCGCTGGGATGCCCTC